GCTCTTTTTAACCTCATTCATCTGAACATACAAGTGCATACATATACACTTATGTGCAGTAAATGCACATCATCCTTTAAAAAGCACCAAAACCTTTTATAATCTTATTTTTCAGTCACTTTTAAAATCCTTATTTTATATTAATGCTACAGTAAGGCAACAGTGACTGTTACTCCAAAGATACTAGATTTGTCTTTTTTGGACTTACTGGACCTGTGCTAAGTGACCTTCCAACTGTTAAGACCTTCTTGTGAGCACTGACATTGATTTAGTTTTGTTATTATGTGCATGGCTCAACACTACCACCTCTTCAGGCACTACTTAAGAATACAAAGTAGCTTCAGAAGAGTATAATACAGTGTGAATATCTTTTAATGTATTACTTCTTAATAATTTTAAACCAAATCATTAATTTTAGTGTTGTTTCCTCTTCAAAATATCCTTTGAAATAAAAAGTCAGATCTCATACTCTGGAATAGTTTCTAATCTACTGTCTTGTTTCCTTCCATATAGTTTTTGGATTTAATTTATCTTCATGATGTTTGACTAAGATTTTCCAAAAGCATGTTGGGCAATACGTCTGTCTTGCTATCTCCTTCATCTCTTGACAAATATAAATGTTTGTATGCAAACATTCTTTGCTTAATTAAGAGGAAACACTGTTCTTCTGTGTTTTAAAATTTTCTTAAAAATGTTTATTAAGAAGTTAAAATTCTTCCTTGTTATTCCAAAGTCAAAATAAAAATGCTACACTTTTTTGGCTTATCTAAATATACAATTGCAAGTAAGAAAGTGAGTTGTCAGTGTGAATTTTATTTGGTTTATTTTTCTTCCTATTACATTTATCAGGACAGTATTGTGACTATATTATAAATTTGTTTGATTTGATATTGTTTATTGAATTTTATAAAACACTGATGTTGCTGAACTGATTATAAGCTAAATTCAGCATTTCTGATGTGTTTACTGTGCAATAAAAAGTGGTATCACAAGGTACAGCAGCATTTGGTAAAAGGATCTTGTATTTGTTGCCAAGTCTGACTTCGCCCTTCCCTGATACTGACTTTCTGACATTTTTAATTTGGAAGGGAATATGCTGGGTGTCCTTTTCTCTTCCTAGCATGTAACCTTTCTGGCACTTTTGCACCCTGGCTGTATTCACTGAACCTAGACTTATGTGGATAATATTGCTGAATTTATTCCTTTATCATTTTAACTTTTATTTTGTAAAAGTGTCTTGAACCCATGGTGGTGAGTCAGCCCAAGCAAGCAGCCAAATGCCAACCCAGCTGCTTGCTCACTTCTCTTCCTGCTCGGAGGGAGAGGGGGAGAAAGTAGAATGAAAAACCCCTTTGGTCAAGATATACAGGAAGAGCATTCACTGATTACCATCATGGGCAAAATAGACTTGACTTAGGGAAAATTAATTAATTCTATTACCAGTTGAAATAGATTTGGATATTGAGAAACAGATGACAAAATTCAGCCACAGTCTTCCTCCCACTGCTTTTCCTAAGCTCAACTTCACTTCTTCATTCCCATCTCCTCTGCTTCTCCCTGCTCCATGCCCTGTGGTGGGTGGGTCAGAGCCACTGGAACCGGCTGTGCCTGGCATGGGGCAGCCCCAGCCTCTCCTCATAGGGCCCCCCTGCAACCCCACTGTCCATATTTGGACACCTGCACCCTGCACACAATTGTCACCGTCATCAGGGCATTTGTTAATGCCATGTGCTGCCAATATCAGTGTGGCTGCCTGCAGCATATTGACTTGGTGAATTTTTTGCAGCCATACTATTTGACCTAAACTTGGATTTTTTTTCAAGGAACAGGCCAAATGTCTTTCCACTTCTTGGTCTAAAGCAGCCTTTATGTAAGGGACAGGGATTTAAATGAATTGTTATTTTTTTAATTGCATAAACCTCACTACCTAATTATAGAGAAAATTATGAAGTAAAGCACATTGGCTGTTTCAAGTTCTTATATGCAATTCCTTAATCATTTACTTTTTTAAATAGAATAATTCATTATTTGTCTAATTTTTATGTTTACTCATAGAAAATATTTGCAATTAGTCTTTGTTGATGAAAGACTCCAAAATTCAGTGGTTCTGTCAGTACAGTGTAGAAAAAGATTGGTTTACTGTCTTTTATAAACATTTCATTCACATTTAAAAGCATTTGATGTAGTAGTGAAGGTTTAGTTGGAATTTATTTAGTATAAGTCATGAGATGGTGTCACTGGGCTACAAGGAGAGCATCAGTTCATTTCAAGGCCTGATACAGATATTAATGAAGTTTAGGAAGACAAATTCATCAACTGGAGAGAGAAAAGTGACTGCAGTGTAATTTAAACACATATAATTATATGCTAACAGTTTCTTTGATTTTTATCATGGGTAGATGATCTTAGATCAGTTTATATAAAGATATATCAGTTTATATAAAGATATATCAGTTTATATAAAGATATACTTGTATTTATGTCTGAACTGTGTTTTCATATATGGTCCAATATGACTACTCTAACAGCCTCTTTAATTTTTTGAACAAAGCAAGCCTAATCTGTAGATCATAGAACCATAGAACCTAGTTCCATCCCCCCTGCTATGGGCAGAGACAACTTCCACTTGACCAGGATGTTCAGAACTTCACCCATCCTGGCCTTGAACCCTTCCAGAGATGGGCCATCCACAACCTCTCTGGGTAACCTGTTCCAGTGCCTCACCACCTTCATAGTATGGAGTTTCTTCCTAATATCTAATCTAAATCTCTTCCTATTTACTTTAAAACTGATTCCCCTTGTGCTATCCCTATCTGCCCACGTAAAAAGTTGTTCTCTCTCATTTTTGTAAGCTTCCTGTAGGTACTGGAAGGCTGCTTTAAGGTATCCCCAAACCCTTCTCTTCTTCAGTCTCACTAACTTCCATTCTCTGTGCCTATTTTCATCAAAGAGGTGCTATAGCCCTCCAGTCATCTTTGTGGCCTCCTCTGGCACTGTTCAAATAGGTCTGTAATCATCTCCCTCAACCTGCTGGGCACATTTCTTTCAGCACAGCCCAGGACACAGTTGGTTTTCTGGGCTGTGAGCACACACTGTTGGCTCATGTCCAGGTTTTCATCCATGATAAACCCTAAGTCCTTCTCTTCAGGTCTCCTCTCAGTGACCTCTCTCAGTCTGGGATTTCTAGTTTAATGTATTTTAATTAAATTTAGACTATTGAGCTTTACCTCACTTAATAAAATTTATGATTAAAGTCCATAATCTTCAAATAAGACAATAAAATTTTAAAAAAGCTTCTAAGTACTGCAGAATGTCACAAGTATTTAAAAATCAGATTCCAGTTGAACCTCTATTAAAAGATTTGCATGTGTGTATATAAATATATCTATTTATATATATATATAAATTAGACATATATATGTATAATAGTCAGAAGATAAAGGGGAAAACTGTGTTTGTAACAGTAGGGTAGGACTAGCACAGTTACCAATCATCTTCAGGCCTTAGTGAGTAATAAATGATGTGTAAAATACTGCAGGAAACGAGGGGCAGAGATTTCAGGAGACATAGTTTTCTTACAGCTTACAAATTAAGGCAGTGGTTTGCTTTGCAGCCCTGTCACACTTTTGTATGGCCTTAAAGAGGCATTCTGATTTTTCTGTGCTTTTGTTCCTGGTTACTTCTGTTGTACTCATCTTGAGATGGTTTAGTCAGAAATCAGTGATCATAACATTTTTTTCTGCAATGGTTTCTCCCACAATGAACCTCAGGTTCTCTTTTAATCAACTGTCCACAAAATCTTGACTTGAGTACTCACAATTCTTGGGATGAATAGGTAGCACTAGCTCTTTTTGTAGTAAATCATTTAATGCAAATTGAGCCTCTGGGAGAAAAAAAAAAACAAACAACCAAACTTCTGAGTCTATATGAATGCTTACTTTACCTGTTCAGGGTTTTCATATCTATCAGACATAAACTGGATGTTTTTATGTAAGTGAATACATCAGTCTCTGGGGTAAGCATTATTTTAGGTACACAAGTGGAAAAGTTGTAATGTTTGAAGTAATCCTGTGTCTCACGATGTTGTCTTTGTGCTAAAATAGTGGTCTGAAACAACACAACCACCAGCTTCCTCCAAATACATTGAACCAGCAAATGAATCTATGGAAGTTAGTTTGCTCCAGTTGGTTTATTTTCTGTCTGATACATGCATGCTCTGGTTGTGCTTATATCAGAGGCCACAAGCCCTAGCATCCGTTTCTGACAACCTGGATCAGGGCTGCAGAGCATGAGTGCAGGCCACCTACAAACCAAATGCAATACCTGTTTCCTGGGAGTCATGGATATGAGACTGGGGAATACCTCTGCCCTGTAGTAGGAACTGAGTTCCATTACAGAAGTTATCTGTGGTTCTGCATTTAAAAAGGCACCTTACGTAGTAATTTGTCATGCCTCAAAGTAAATTCTGATGGTTTAAAACATTATATGGGGGTCTAGGGGTGTGTGTGCATGTATGTGTTCCCTTTTGGTTAGCAAATGCTCACAGACCACAAAGACACAAAAATCAAGACTATATTTGAAAAACCATACCTGAATCAATCAAACCAAATACTTCAGGACAAGATATTTATGATGTCTCAGTGTATCTTTATGTGTCTGTCTGTAAACACACACAATGAATGTGTTATATCTACATAAACACATATTTCCCTACTAGCCTCTGGCAGTTTTATGAAATCACTTTGTGGAAGTTGTGTGCAGCTGGTATATAAAATCAGTTTGTCCAGCAAATTATTTATTCAGGTTGTTCCACTGGTCTTGTCTCCTCTTTTCCATTGTTGGTGTGGCTTGATCGAAAAGCTATTCTACATTCTCACTCAGAAATGTGTATACTGAGTTTATTATAGATCAACAGGAATGTTGATTTCATTGTAAGTAATGTTCTTTCCATGAGTGATGGTTCTTTGGTTTAAAGTAGTTGTTATTTGTCACACTGACAGGTACACCTACTGCGAAATGCTGGCGATGAAGTTACCATCACTGTTCAGTACCTCAGGGAAGCTCCATCATTTTTAAAGCTCCCGTTAGGTAAGAGGAAATTAATGGATAGGAGTAATTTGTTTTCCTCTTTTCAGTATTCTCATAAGAAACTCACAGTGACAGAAATAGGAATTCAATCCTTGAATGTTTTACAAGAAGAAATAGAAAATTGTCTTTCTACTTTACTATTTAACATATAATAATCTAATGCATACTACCTTACTGTTTATGTGTAATTTATTCAAAATAAAACTGAAAAAAATTCATTAAAATGCAGTACAGTCATGGGTGATATCTGAAAGTTTTTCAACAGAAGCTTTACCTAAATACAATAAAATAGTGTTTACAAACATTTGAATCATACATTAACATTGAAAGATACTTTCAGGACACCAAACAAATGGATAACATTAATAATGTATGTTTCATAAATTACTTTACTATTTTGATTGGTTTTGTCAGAGAGCAGAATTATGATGTGGCAACTGAGTAGTTTAACAATAGCAATACCAAATTGTGTATGAACAATGCAGAAGAAGGAAATTTTGGGTTCTTCTGGTTAGCAGATAAAATATTCAAGTTGCACAGTTGTGATCAAAGTTGCAAGTAGAAAAGTGTTCATATCAGCTGACTTAATCAGACCAAATAATTTTGCAACAGTTTATTTTAACAGATTATTCTCTTTCCAAAATAAGCAAAAAGATTTGAAACCTGTCTTGTTCTTTGGATTTATTTAAGTTGAGCTCAACTATATACTTGTTTTTTTCCTGATTTTAACAGAATCATAGGTGTCATAGTCTAGCTGTTGCCATTACAAGAGTGTCAATCTGGGTTCTTACACTGGTTAGAAGCCAACTTGACAGGCCTCTACTAAGCTGAACTATACCTTTCATGCTAAGACCTTTATTTCAGTTCTCACTGTTTATCATTTGCATTTGAAAATGGAATATAAATTCTAAGAAATCTTATGTTTACATTTTGAGATCTTCATATATTCAATGTTTCTTTTGTTTTCCTACTTGTCCTCCTAGGTCATCAGACTAATGTCTATAATGCCTTGAATAACTGTCCAAGATTAAACATGATTTTGGCAAGTGAGCAGCATCTTACAAGTAGTTTCTGTGTTGTTGGACATATTAATTTGTGGTTATGATAGTCCTACTAGCACTTGTATCTCATCTTGTAGATTGACATTACATACTTGAACTGTATCACTTGTCATTGATTAACCTTGGCTAAGAGCCAAACTCCCACTCAGACTCTGTCTCACTCCCTGTCCTCAAACAGAACACGAGGAGAAAACAGAATGAGAAAGCTCTTAGGTCAAGACAGATACAGTAAGATCAGTTATCAATTACCATCATGAACAAATCAGAGTCAACATAAGGAAACTTAGGTAAATGTATTGCCTATTAAAAGGGATTCAGGCAGTGAGAAACAAACAACACTGTCCATCACCTTCTTCACTGACCTTGAGGTTCATTCAATGTTTTTTTTCTCACTCTTTTCCTTACTCCTGTCTCTCCTCTTCTGCATTTTACCCTTTCTTAAATAGTTTTCCAGAAGTGCTACCAGCTCAGCTGCAGGACTCAGCTGTGCCCTTGAGTGGATCTGTGGGAACTGGCTGGAACTGTCTGTGTCTGGCACAGGGAAGCCCTGACTGTGTCCTAGCCCTGGAAGCACCTGAACCCCCAAAACCTTGCCGCTAAGACCCAGTACACACTCTACGTGAGCTGGCTGCCTTGTTTCCTGCAGGTCCAGGAATATTGGTGCCCTGTTCGTACATCAATGGGTCCCACACTCTGGGTTTTAATCCATAAGATGCCTGGAGCGGTTACTTTCTTTTTAAGACTTTTTAAAAGCCTTTTGGTTTGTTATAACCTTGAATTCACATCCAGAGAAAAACTACATATTTTTCTCTAAGAGAAATTCTTCTAATTTAGTGAGAAAAATAAGACATTTTGGGAAAAGTTTTTACAGGAATAAAATGCAACCAAGAAAAACATCCACTAAAACACCCAGCACAAAGACCCATTCCACAGGAAACACCCACTACAAAATGAGCAATATAGTAGCTTTAGTAAAGCACAATTCATAGGTATTAAGTTACCCACAAGAGAAGGAAAAGACTAACAGAAGATTCACTGCTGCTGGGAAAACTCTTGAGGACATGTTATGGTGAAACAGACTGTATTCAAAATTTTTCTATTTGATAGTTATACTAAATTATTAGAATATTCTGAATTTGCAAAGCTTGTAGTGTGATTAAAAATCATCAGGAGCGTTTCATTTGATTTTAATTTCGTCTTTTGGAGGTTGCTCATGACATGATTAGCAAGTTCAATAAATGAGTTTTTATTTACATGCAAAAGGTCTCAGTATTATTCAGTAACATTAACCATAAGACAAATTGTTTTAAATAGTAAAGACTTGCTGACTGCTTGCTGTACATTGATCTGCAGTAGTGCATTTTCAGGGTTGTTTGTTATTTAGAGATTTATTGTAATTCACTAACTGAAATAAACAACCCCCTGCTGAGGGGACTCTGTGTTGACCAGAACTTTCATAGAGACCTTTCTAGGTCTGGAAAGCCTAAGGCTTTTGAAGTCAAAAGTAAAATCCAGGTTTTATTAAAATAAGTAGTAGAATACCTTACTTTTTAAATTGAAAAATTGTCATGATTCTCTCAAAAGGATTACAAAAGGATTTATAAACTACTCCTACTTGTTCCACAGTAAATGTGTTCTTATTTTAGATTTAGTGTCAGCTAACTTGATGATTTCCTGAGTTACTGCTGGTTCTCCAAAATCCCCTGTGATCCTTACAAAGGTTCTTTCTCGCACCATGGAGTTCTGCTTCGTTTTTTTTCATGCTACCCCCTGGGGCATCTCGGTGTTGTGAACTGCAGACTCCCATATCCTTGCTATCTCTCTGTCTCTCTGACCCCTTCTCCCTTTACAGGGTATGTTGTGTGGGTTTTTTTTTTTCTCTGAGCATACTCAGCTATTGCTCACGCAAAGGTGAAGATAGGGGAAAGGTCTTTTCCTCTCCCACAGGAGAATTCCTAACCCAACTCTCTCAAAAGAACAAGCCATAGCTGAGAATAAGCAAATCAAACAGATAGTGCCTGTCCTAGTTTTGATTTTTTTTAGGCTGACTATCTATGATTTGGGTGATATAAGAGAACATCTAGGCAGTAATGATTGCTGGAAATCTCACAACATACCAAATACCTTTTTTTCTGGCGTCAGTACCTAGCAGGATAATCTGTTGTGGAGTGGGGAGTTATCCATAGCAGATGTTTTATTTTACATAAAAACTCTGTCTGTCTCAAACTAATGTTCTAGAGTTTGGACTGGTGCCTTCCACTTGATTGGGAATCTCATCTACTTAGGCAAGAACTGCAGTTGCAGATAGTGTACGTCCATACTGTGTTTTGTTGCAAGAACAAGGAGGAAAGACTACCTGATTACTCTAGGGCTGCCATGCAAGAAATGTTCCTTGGAGAGATGAGAGCACTGCATCTTCCATGAAAGTAGCTGAGTATATGCATGGAAGTTTTTAAAATGTTGAATGAGGTCATGAGGAGTAGCCCATGAGTAAGTGAGGCTGAAAAGGCAGGGAGCAGACTAAAAGATTTTTGAACTTGTTTTCAATCAAGTGGTAGATGTGGCATAGTCTGAGACAGGTTGTGTAGTTTGTTGTGACTTAGAAAATGAAAGAAAGTTGCTGAATTGAAAAGCAAGTCTGCTGGGACATTGTGGGAGGAGGGAAATTTCTTCCTTAAACTTTTATTCTTAGCTTTCCCATGTAAGGGATATCAGTTTTCTCTACTTAAAAATAATTATTTATTCAGCTGTAGTATTTTATATTATGGTAAGCCCTGGATTTAAGGATTTTTAAATACCTAAATTCACGTCTTTTGATATGCTTAAATTGCTGAATAGGTGGAATTATTCCCCTTTCAGAATCTGATTGACTCATGGACCTGTGATAGTTGTCTTTTTATTTAAAAAGTAGTATTTTTATTTAAAAATTTAGACATTTTGTTCTGTTCCATCAAGTCACTGTGGTCATCTATGAGTATGAACATAGATTTTTGTGGTCTACTGTATGTATAAGGATCTACACAATGTTGTAGCTACTAAGGCTGATGCTTGCCTTAGATCCCTAAAAGCAAAGCAGAATGACTCCTTCTGCTTACATCATCTAGCACTGTACAGAAGCGACTCTAAACAGAAACGTGCTGAAATTCAGAGATCTCAGAGACAAGCTGATTTCTGAGACCTCAGCACTGAACTGAATTAAGTTCAGTTGAATTAAGTTCCATTTTCTAAATCTTCCAGATATATAAAATACATACATGCAAAAATATATGACTAAGAATGACTTTTTGACTTCTGTGATGTTAGACTTGACAAGCCTATAATGTGAAATGATTTACAGGCAATTTCAGGTGAACTCTTTAGATAGAAAAATGAGTTTTCAGTGATTATGAATATAATGCTGTGCAATTGATTTTATGTGAGTTATCGATAAGACCAAGTGCTGTCTGACAATAATTTTAGGTTAATGGTGCTTTTTGTTAACATCTTACATTTAAGCAGAAATTACACAATGATGTGACTTTGTGCTGTTTCCATTATTATATGTTGCAAAAGCATTAAGTTTTTCTAGTGTCAGTTTTAACTACTAAAGTTGGATCATGATGCATAATTGCTAAAAGGAAAGATATTTTGAAGAGTATAACCATATAATCTTAGCATATAGTATCAACATAGTATCAACAATTCAAAATGATTGTTTGCTTTCAATTTCTAAATTTGAGAAGGAGTGTCTTTCTTGAAAGTAATTGGCATTTTAAGGAAAAGATACATCTTTTAATAAAGTTGTGTCCAGTTAGTATTTGCCTTAAAGTTTCCTATTAGCTTTGTCTATAAATACAGTTCATGGTTATACTCAAGTGAAGACTTTCAAGACTCAGTAGGAAATTTACTTATGAAATTAATGGGTTTTGTGCAACTGACTTTCTTATTTGCTTTTGAATATCTAATTCTCATTCTCAGTGAAAAAAATACTTAATCCTGCAGACAGTTAAGCATACAAATAGTTTTTGTGAGCACAGCCTCTAAAAGAAGACATTTAGCTACCATTCTGCTTTCTAGACATTAAGTGTAGTATACAGACTTTTTATTGTCTGCCTTTCTAAAATGCAAGTAGCATTTCTGTCTTGGTGTGGTGAATCATATTAAAAATTCTTCTTGTGTTTTACAGCTAGAATAGATATTGTCTGATATCTACATATAGTTTTAACATAAGTATTTATTTGTCATGATCTGATTTCAAGGTTCCCCTGGACCATCCAGTGATCACAGCAGTGGAGCTTCATCACCTCTCTTTGACAGTGGCTTACATTTAAACGGAAACTCAACTAACACGGTAAGCAAATGAATAGTAAAAACCTGGTGTAAGTTATGTAAGTTCTTTTCCCATTTTGAGCTTCAAAATCCTAGTGTAAGACTACCCTAATTCTGTTGGTTCTTTGCTTGTTTTTTTGATTGATTTTTAAGTGCTTAAACTGTAAAATTCTGTACATAAATTGTCACCAACATGGGGCCATGGAACGCTAGGTTCTTACTCTAAGCCAGCTGAGAAGGTTGTAGGAATGAGCACAGTGAGATTTATTCATAGTTTACATGAATTCATCCGAACTTTTGTCATACTTTGTTGAATTGTAGCATTGTACTATTGAATTTAATCCAGCTAGAGATGCTGAAATGTACATGGAATTCAGAAAACAGTGTAAAGTTGAATTCTTGAAGCAAACTTTTTTAATAGGAATCTTCAGTATCTGAAAAAACCATATTTAGATAGGATAACACATGCTTTTCTGGGTTGATATCTGTATTTTAGTGCTTGGTGTCCAAACTGGTCATAGATACTGAAAGTTTCATGTTTATTTATTTGTAATTATCCAGGTAATTATTACCTCTAATTACCTTGTACTGTTGTCTTAATAAAGACCCCAAATCGATTCTCAGAGTCCAGGAATTTGAAATGCTTCTCTGCCAGGCGCTGTGCAGACAAAGTCCTTTCTGCAAAGAGCTTACATTATGAGAAGGTGGCTATGGTCAGATGATTGCCTGTGGTTGCATTAGTGTGTTTTAGTAAATTATTGCCTATTAAGTACTAGAATGAGTGTGCAATAACAATTTTTAATAATAATTATTACAGTACTTTGGGAATTGCACACTGAATTCTATGCATCATAAAAACATAAGTGGTTGGAGTGTTGTAGACTTGTAACAGAGTAATTTAGATTTAGTTGTCAAGGTAGCACACAAAAAACTGTTTATAAGTTTGAAATATAAGTAGAAAAACAAAGTAAAAGGGAGACTACTAAATTCTTACTTGCTTTTACACAGCACTTAATTTTTCTGAAGCTTGACATGAAGTCACGAGAGCTATGTATGCACCAGACACTATGACCTAGAAGTGGAATAAAGCAGAACAATCTACCTAGTGTATTGTAGAAGTCATGATCTCCCTTTGTAGTAAGCAAAATGAAAAATTGCCATATTCTTATTGTGAAATGCAAAAGCAAGTACTTTGAGCAGGAATTACTGGTTTTTGAAATGGTCCACTGGAGATGTGGTCAGACTTTTCTCAGACTAAGCTATGAGTGTAACTGAATTGTGATTTTTATGGTAAAGTAAGAGCAGAATTGACATTTCCTATAACAGTATTGCCCAGTAAAGCTAATGATATTTAAATCCCTTTTTTATATCACCCTGGTAGGGGAGATCTGACTCAACCTTAATATTGCATCTTGCAAGTCTGTGTTGCATTTGTATGTACCTTCCTAACCACACTCAGATCCGTGCCATATTAGACAATGCACCTGTATTTATGACTGGAAATGCTGCTTCAAAAAGCACACAATGTAAAGGAAAGGACAGGAATGAGAGGTAAGGAGTTAGTGTTATGCCAGTTGTACCAAGCTGTCATTCAGCATGTCTGTTCTGAAAAACAATAATATAGAGATTGTATCATATAGATAGTAGTTTAGCCATCTTAACAGCAAGCTCTTTCTGCCTAATACCATTATACCATTTTCAGTCTGGTGCTAGCTTGCCTCTGTTAGATCTATCTTTATCACCTCTGTTGTGAAGCATCTGTTATATGTGATACGATATCATCTTCAGGATTTATATACATCCTTTCTGTAATATCAGAGCAGTTTGCAGTATAGCACTTTAAAAAGGGTTGTCTGGAACCCAGAGAAATGAGCTGAAGTGCTCTCTTCACGCCTAATTATTTTATGCTTGGGCACTGTGACAAATGCTACAGGGATTGGCACTGGCAGTTACATTCATCTGTACCTTATAAGTGGTTTATTAAACACAATGTGAAATTCTAGAGGGGAAGAGAAAACATACAAAGAAGGTGGTCTCTAGGCTAGTGAGTACGGGTTGTTTACCTGAAGCATTCTAACTAAAAACAATGAAGAAAATACTGTAGAGATATTCTCCTACATGTCCAAATATCCTAGACATCAAGGCCAGCTCCCTGGAGAAATTGGTGGTGAAAAAAAAATGACCAGAAATAAAATGAATTGCTGTTTAAGACACCTTGGAATAGTATGACAGTTGCAATGCAAAGGCACAATGTAGTAGGTTTTCATTTGTTTCAGCATCCAGATTCTCTGAATTATCTAAAAGTAATGTACTAAAAAGTGAAGTGATGGCATAATAAATTGTTGTTTTCTGTGTGCTCGTGTAATTTAAAAACTCTTAATTTAATGTTGACAGTATGTAAGGTTTAGTTGGTTAGATGGAACTAAACAGACACTTAAAAATTCCTGAATTACTTTAAAATATTCTTTTTATGCCTTTATTTCATCTGATAAATTGAAAAGTTTTCCTTTAAAAAAGGCATTGCCTACTTCATCAACAAGTGAAGTTTTTAAAGAAGGAAAAATACAAATGCTCAGCTCTTGGTGGGACCAGTAGAAGGCTACGTCTTTAATGTCAGTGGTAGTTCTGGTTCCCGGGTTCATATCCCGGATGAGCCCCCAAGAGCCCCTGGTGGTCTAGTGGTAAAGGCGCCGCGCTATCACCGCGGAGACCCGGGTTCGATTCCTGGTCAGGGCCACTCCCGGGCAGGTGGAGCTCGTTAGCCCTTAAAGGCAACCCACCTACGTCCTAAGGACCTCACTGCCACTGTCCAAGCTCGCTTGGCCCCGGCAGATGAACCTTAGGATTAAAGGGTGGGCTCAGTTCCGCGCACACTGTGTCTCACCTAAAAAATCCAATGCGCAGGCTGGAAGGTGTAAAGACCTTCCCCGGATCTTCGCTCGCGAAGACTGGCCATTATTATTATTATTATTATTAGTTCTGGTTCCAAAGATTCGATCCCAGGCACAGAAAGGCAGAAAGGAAAGAGGATCCAAGAAAGGGAGTTGGAGACCCCTGTTCTGAGAGTCAAGCCATTCTGTTGGATACTTCAGGGGAATGTATGACCAGAGCATTCAACTGAGATTGAATATGTTTTATTCTTTTAAATCCTCTTGTAGTGTGTTCCAATTCAGTATAAATATGCTATTGATCATTCTTAAGGTTTATTTTTTACTTTAATTTTTATCATCCTGTAGCTCACTTTAAGAAGAGAAATTTCAGTTCTTTTCTATTTGAAAGGTATTGCCTCTGCCAACTCTTTATCTGAAACTCCATGATTTTCTCACTGAATATGAGAGCAACGTAACTTCAAATTGACTTCCAGGTCACAGTGAATCATTTGGTAATGATTTTGGTAAAACGATTAATGTATTAAATACAAAAAATAGCTCACTCAGAGTCTTCCATTTATTTGCTGAAGGGAAACTTAAAATAGATGAACACAGCCAGCTACACTTAAATAGTTTGGACTGCTGCTGTGCTGAAGACCTTTATGAAATTAGATAAACATGCTGCAAATAAGTATGCTCTTTTTTTCTCAATTAATAAAACATGAAGTGACTAACCCTTTTCCTTATGAGGGAAAAATAATCCAAATTTTCTGTTTCTGATTACACCTCTCAGGATTCGTAGCAGTAGAAGCTGTGAAGAGCCTTTTAAATAACATCCACTTGCTCTATTATAGAATTTTAAAGAAATGCTTTTGATATAGAGGATTGAAATTGCTTGAGTTAGATTTAACTGTACAGAAGTGATTGTCTAATTCTCATTAGAGTTGATTGGGACTTTCACTAGGATAATAATGAAGTAAAAAAAGGTATTTTTAAAAGGCTTACCTTTTAGTTATATTGATGCACACTGTCACTGCTAATCCATTTAGCAGACTTATTTCTTTTAGTATTTAACATTTGATTGATCATGTTGGTCATTTCATCTGCACAGAAATTAAACACTTGTTTAATTTCCTGGTGAAGTTTAGTCAAATACAGGTTTAGGTTTGGGTTTGGGTTTTAACTGAGAGCCCTAACAAAAGATGATGAAAGGAAATATGGCATGGAAAATACAAAGAAAGTCTTACCTAGCTGCTGAATAAATGGATACTGAACAATATTTGCTGATTTATGACATCTAATATTAGTTTAAAAAGTGCTCACTTAAACCATTGAAAATTAATCTGATATTCACACACCTGCAAGGAAGAAAGCTTGAATTTTTAAGCAGGGTCTGGACTAAATCCAAGTCTATTTTCACTGGAAAAGAAGTCAAAGACCAATAAAGGTCAGATAAAAGATTACGGCTTTGTTATTTATCTTTCAGAAAAAAGTGCAACAGGATCACAATGGAACTACTGTACCAAGTAGAAAGAAGTAACTTGCATTTTTTAGGTATCTGGTTTCATTTTTTAGTTATACTTATTTTCCCCATACACAGTCCTTGCATATGAATACATTTTTTCTTTTAGTTCTCAGGAATTTATTCATTTTAATTTGTGGTAGCAGCAAAAAGAAAATGGCCTCAGAGACAAAGCCCAATGTATTTATTTTTTTATAATTTCTGATAGAAATTGGTCATTTCCTTTATCCTTATTAATTTCTCTTTTTTTCTTTAATTCCATGTAAAATTAAGATATTTTGAGTCCCTTTGCTTACTTTATTGGGAGTGATTCATCTGACAAGTCACCACAAAATCTTCCTTTAGATTGAGTTGTATTGCTCTGTAGGTTGCATGGAGTATATTGAGTACCTTTTATTTCCACAGATAGATAAATGAGTTTTGAGGAGTGGTGTTATTTTTTAGTGAATGATGCTCTTCTTTTTGATTTATGATTCAGGAGTATTGTATGAGAGCTGTAGAGGAGTTAAATTTGCATTTGATTCTTGAATAAAATGATCTCTTTTTTTCTCTTATTATCTGTTCCTCTGTCTATATTTACAAAGGTGCAAAATAGATCACCTCAGGTCAGATTATAATGAGAAGTTAGAA